TCCAAAGAAAACAAAAATAAGTAGAGTTTTCTGTTTGTCCCCCTGCAAAGTCTCACAAATACCCATTGATGCTCCCAGTTAAGTCCATCTAATGCAGCATCTCATGATGGTGTAACAACAAGGCTGCACTGCTCCTGAATTCAGAGTAGAGTTGCCACTCTCATGTATGGCAGCGTGGCTATCCTTATTGTCATAATCCTTTATCTTGTCAGTCAGCACCCGGCACTCCTAGACCTGCCCACTGCTTTCTGGATTGACAGCATTACCTCTGTTGCTGTAACCCTCCCACTGTGAGCTGCAGTGTCTGGGATGGAGAGTATGTGAGAGTATGAGGGGGGGAGAGTATGTGAGACACAAATGATGGAAGGTTTATATCAATCAGGTGAGGTAAAGGAAGTTTCTTGTTTACATTATGAGCCTTGTACATCACAAAGTAACATACAAATATCTGGCATTTCCAGCATTTGATTATTAAAAAATGAATTCTAGAAAGATATAAAATACATAAATAAATGCAGCTCTGTAGTCATGAATACATCATTCATTGTACTTTTTAAATGCCTGAATTTGACATGGCATCAGCCTCTCACATTCCATGTACAGCAAGGCTGGAGTGTGAGAGGAAGAAGCAGCACAAGGTGCCAATCCAGTCATGTGCCAACAAGAAGCATGCTGACAGGAGGCAAGAGCAGAGTGACAGAGAGGTGAGCTCATCACTGTGCTGCTTCTCCTTCAATTTCCAGGTACAGGCTGGGGTGGGTCCAGGACTACCTGGGCTCAGAGGACCTAGTGCAGGTGGGTTAAATGAGGCTGGCCATAAAACTAAGGACTTAAAGTACCATAAATTAAAAAAAGTACTGCGGGAAAATCTCTGGACTAGGTGATTATTTATTTGTTTATAATTTGAAAATAACTACTGTGGATGTTGACTATACAGAGGAATGGCTACACCTCCACCTCATCTCCACAACAGACTATTAGAGAAAAAAATAATGGCAGTCTTACTGCCTGTAACTTACTTGCTGCCAAAAGGACCTTTCTATAGTAATCTTCACACCACTTGGAGTGCAAGAAAGTTCCAAGCAGCTGTAGTGCATTAAGAGCTTTAATGGTTCATACAATTTTTGACAAGCGTACAGAGAGGCTAAAGGTGCCCATACACCTTACGACCATCGCAAGACGCTTGTCTTGCGATGGTTGTAAGCTTATTAAAAGCTCGTACGATCTGCCGATCTTGGACAGGCAGATCGTACTTGCGATCATCGAAAGCCCGCCCGATGAGGGGCGGACTTCCGATGACTGCAGTGAGCGCGTGCGCAGTTGTCGAACAAGCAGGCCACTAACCCGCTGAGCACCTGCTTGTTCGACAGAAGACGTGCAACCGTACAGTAGAAACAGTCGCACGCCTTCCATACACGGTACGATTATCGTACGATCGCGGGATTTCCAGCGATTCTCGTACGAGAATTGTACAGTGTATGCTAAAGCACAGACACCGGCACTCCAAATTTACAAAATACGTCTATTTATTGACGTGCATCGTGGTAAAAAACACTGTACAGTGTATGGGCACCTTTAGGATAGAACTGGTATCTGTGTAATCAAAAGAGGTACTAGTTCAACACTTACAACGATGATGGATCACATGAATTGGTAGGCCGTAAATGGGGAGATATTTAAGTTTCAGAAGTTTCAGTTATTTGTTGATAACTTTTATAACTGTTTTTCTGCAGTCATTTCCATGGTTATTACTTTGATGTTGAGTAATGTTGATCATATATATCCAATGGTTATTTACTTTAAAAGTTTTAGGTAGATAAGCTCTAGAGACCTTGCTTGTATGCTTAGTGGTCTATGTATTATTATTATAATAGAGGATTTACAGTATACAGCGCCACAGTTTGTAGTGGACAGAATGGGGTGTGGAGTTCCAGAGGATGGAAATTTTGCATTGCTTATGCGCCGAGCAAAACTGCATGTACATTCGATCAGTGCAAATTACCCATATTGTAGTGAATGTGGGGCAAAAATTTATGCTCTTTGTGTAATATTTTTTCTGGTCAAATTTTTGTTTATAGGTTTATTCATAAAGAACAGAGTGAATAAGGAAAATACTGCATTATGGCCACTAGATGGATGATCCTAGGAAAGAAATATGTTAGTATTGAGATACAATGTCACAATTCAAGAGAATGCTGGAGAGAATGAGCATATAAATGTAACTACAGTATTGCTATCCCCATAGTATCAATAGTTACATTTATATGCTCATTCTATCTCATTACTAATATGTATTTATTTCCTATGATCCTCAGCTCCATCTTGTGACCATCAAGTGGTATTTCCCCGATTCATTCTGTTTTCTATGAAAAAAACGATTAAAGAACATTCAACCAGAAGAGAATTTACACTTAAAACATTGCTTTTTGCCCAGGTCTCACAACGATTAAACATATTTAAAACCAATAGTATGAATGAACATAGTAGTGTAGAGTGACGTCTACCTGTAACGAACTTCTGTGATTTAAAAATCTCACAATTTTTGTTATTTTATATTACTGTTAAAGCAACAGGAGGCGTGGAAACATCCATAAACAGGTGGGAACTTATCCGGAGACATCTTGTACCTAGATAAAGCCAGCATGTGATGCAGACCACCAAAACAAACCTATAACTGTGAAATCAGCTTTTGGATGGACTGAACCTTTAACACTGAAGGTTTAAAGAAAGCTAGAGGTGGTAATTCAAGGGAGTAATTAAATCTGAATATTCACAGCCAGTCAATCTCAGTCAGGAATAAAGATAGATGGATGGATGTTTCCTGCACTGATCTGACCTGTTATTTCCCACGGGTAACAGAGGGCAGTCTGTCTGCGCATATCATCATCATGTAATGACATTTCTACAGGGGGAACACTCTGGTCTGTGTTCACCATACAACACAAACTATGTAATGCTGCATTCCAACCCAAACCAACAAAATACTTCCTGAAAAACCACAATGCTGGGAGGACACAGTTCATGTAACTCATTAACATCCTAAATGAAAAACAGCTGACAGTAAAATTAAAAGTCTTGGATTTAAAATAAGGTCTGGGCTAGATTATGGTGATTATTACACTACACTATTAGTTCAGCTACTAGAGCCATAAGAAACGAGAATATGAAGGACAGAACACAGATGCCTGTTTAACAGGGTGTGTTTAAATCATTTGCCATTCTGTAAGGCGCAGAGAAGAACAGCAGATACAAGGCACAGAGAAAAGCCAACATCCAGCACATTCGACAACAGTTTCTCCAGAGATGGCCTGAGCTAAACAATAGACAATAAAGGATAACGCAGATAATAAAAAGGCGAGGGGGTTGCCTGACTGCCAGCTCCTCTCCAGTGATGCTGCCAGCATCATCTCTCCAAATGGTTTATCAACCATCCAGAAAGGGGGTCACCTTACCTGAACCAGCACTATAATACAATAAAACGCTATGCTTACATCACTCCCTTTATTTTGCTGCAAACTTACACAGACAGAAATAGCTACAAATACTTCTTGTATGTTCTAACAATAAAATTAATGAATGAAAAAGCAAAGCATACAGGGATTAACGTAGAAAAAGCTGCCATTTAATAATTAATCGTGTTTAGCTTTTGTTGTCGCTGCTCCGAAACAGTCGCTAGGGGGTTGACAGAAACAAATCTAAACATTATGATCAGCTGGAGCAGCTTGATAGCAGGGCATGATGCCTTTTAGTCAACAGAGCAGCTCAAGTTTTTCTTTGAAACTTTGCAGGTTTCCTTTGTCATCCTGTAAATTAGGCATCTCACTTTTAAAATCTGCATTTTCTCACAAAGAGATCGCTATAAGCTCCTGCTGTGATTGATCCACAGCTCCTATAAGACACGTGCAGGAAAGGCAAGCTTCATGGGTTTACAAGTTAATTTGCATGCATGACAACCTCCAGTCAATACAGATGTTGCACAGAAGATAATGAAATGACAGAAGACACAGGACAGGCACTCTCTAGGTCCACTCTATGGCTAGTGCAAGAGCTAACATTCTTGCTGCTGGCTGCATGGAATTCCTGGTGACAGCAATGTAAACTAGGTCCTATGCACTGCACAAGGTCCTCATCGCTTAAACATATTACATTATCCTCTATTTATATTATTATACTTCATTTATAGAGTAGTACCATACAACAATACAAAGATTTCAGAATCCAGACAAAGTCCACATGAGCTTACAATCGAAAATTAATGTTAATATAATTGTTCACTATTATTTAATAGAATTTATAGAAATGTGCAAAGTGTAGTAAACCAAAGCAACCATATTTAATTTTTCATTGGTGTACAAGGAAAGCTTAGTTGCTATAGCTTACTGCACTTCTGCCTTAGTTAACTAGTCTACTGTTTTATTGTTGTGATACCTCTGAAATGATGAAAGGTGGAACCTAATGCATGCTATGGATTATGGCACTTTACAACACTTCCCTGTGTACTGTTTTTCTCAATGAGCTTGCTAGTGTCAGTATTGGACAAAGAGGCCTTAATCTTTATCTTCTGCAAACAATGCTAAAATAAATAGCACTTTACTTAATTTATGGTTAGAAAAGAAAATATAATTGCTACAGCTGGTCTATAAATCTGTAAGGCCAAGATGCCTTACAGATTTATAATTTATAATCTTCAGCAGCTTGTAATTTTAGCTGTGGCCTTGGTAAATGATTTTTTGGTGGTGCACACCTGACACTAATAACTTCACAAACCAAACATTATTTTGCAATGGGCTGCTTCGTTGAATAATGTGATGTTCTAATGACCCAAGTGAAAGTTGTGTTGGACATTGTGTTATGTAATAATAACTGCACCATCTTTTGTCAGCCTGGCATAATATAGAAATGCTGTATTCTCTGTGCCCATATTTTTTACATGCATAGTTTTTATACAGCTAGCATCTAAAAAGAAGCAATGTAACCACATCCTTTTTGCTGTATCTTACCTGTCTCTTTGTCTTGTACCTCATCCAGGTGCAGGTCATTCAGGAGATGCTCCAAAATCTTCTCCGGCGTCCCAGACACCACCATGTACCTGTCAGAAAGCAAAGAGTCCACAGAGTCATCCTCCGTAGAAGACTGCGAGCGGCTGCTCCACTCGTCCTCCTCATCCTCCTCATCTATGTATTTAAAATAAGGCACATCAAACGTGGGCAAAGGAAGCTCTCTGACAGTGAAAGCTGATGATGGCTTCTCCTTCATGTGGCCATTAAAGACCCTCAGCTTTGAGCTTCCCATTGTGGTGTTTCAGTGACAAAGGGCATCCCCTATAATTTGCAGTCTATTCCCAAACCAGATCTGTCTTTGCTAGCTAAATCCATCTGCCAGCTGAGCGTTCTGCAGTCAGCCTGAGCCTGACTGTCTGTGTGTGTCTGGATGCCTAGAGGAAAAACTCTTACCTCCAATCAGTCTCGCCACTCCCTGCTGTGGAGGCTGGCCGCTCTGACGACACTTTCTTAAGCACCAGAACATCTTGGTCCTGTTCTCTCACTTGTACGGTGGTAGCTTCTTCATCCTGTTGCCAGACAAGAATAGGGATGATTTTAGAAATATGCTGTGTCTCATGAGAATACACAGACATCTGAAGTCCTATTCCCTGTGCAAAGCACGCAATGATTTATACTGCAACACATCAAATTACATCAAAGGTTGTGAACTGACGTCCAGGCATACTGCTTTTATTATAATTACGCATTTTAATGTCCCTAACCCGGGTCGACTTCTCACTATAAACTACGGGATTGCACCCTCACACACATACACTCTCCTAATAAAACTGTATGTATTACCTACACTACCAAAAGCATACACACTGCACTAAATCAGAGCTACACATATGAAACTGCTGACCAGATGTGCTGAGCTGTGTAACAGTCTGACCGTGTATGGAGAGAAATCAATTGCATAAGAGGGAACCTGGAATGGACAAAGAAGAAATTTGGGGCATTTTTTTGTTCTACCTTCGTTGAATGCTGCCATTCTTTGCTCCATTACCTGAAAAGCACTGAATGACTGAAGTGCATGTAGGTTAATAGGACGAGAACCTTAGCATAGATAATTCTTGTATTACTGCCAATTAAGTAAAGTTTTCAGTCTTCTTGTACAGAAGTTACAGGTATAAAATATACTAGATACAGTCAGATGTATTCCCACAATTATTCTAATGTCTACCTCTACACAGATATGATAAGAAGCATTATATTGCTGTGGAAGGTTAGCTGCCATTTAACTCTGCATCGTTTGACAGGTCTAAAACGGTATTGTGCTTGGTTTATACATAGCACAATCGCTATTGTAGACCAATGAAGGGCTAATCTTTTAGCAGCTACAAATTTAATTCTACATAGACTCCAGCTGAAATGCAGAGACCTTCACAACACCCTTGAATATCAGAGAGTGTTCAGATGTGCAAACACGATCTAGCCACTCTCGGTCCTGGCCCTCAGTGTGCCACCACGTCCACAAACATTAACTTGGCTAATCTTTGTATTCAAGTGAACGGAAAGGTTAAGGGCTGGAAAGACACATCACAGGCAAATGCTTATCACAATGATCAGGACAGCCCGACTGATTCCCCTGGCTATCTTTAGCCCAGTCATAGCCATGGGATAACAGTTGGGTGACGTGAGGAAACAAAAGAGGGATATTTCTATATGCATCCACTATCATTTTAGTTGAACATTGTGTTTTTACACTATGCAGACACCCCTAGTGCCAGCCACATCTCCGAAAACAATAGGGAAAATCAATTGTAGACAATCGTTTTTCCTATAAGATCAATAAGCTGGGGGAGCTGGCAAATTGTCTTAGACCTAAAGTTACTTCACTATCCAATCCTTACTAGTTGGAGAGGACAACAATCACCTTACATCTGTAGGTAGCCCAATATAGACACCTGAAGCATAATCCAAACCCAGGAAGACGCTCACAAGCATACAAATCAATCTTGGAAAAGGAAGAAAAATTCTAGCAGATGCTATTGTTCTACGTCTTTGAGTTTGTAACCCTTTTCTAAGTATCTGTATGAAGGGTGGAATGTGCAAGTACCTCCAAAATACCCGTGCCCTGGGTATGTTTGCAGGTACCCACAAAAACCAACCCTTATGTTATCCTATAGTGCGCTGTAAGTGCAAAGGAATGAACACCCTCTTTTCTTCACCAACTATTATTTTTTGAATAATTTCCATTATGATGGAATATATTTTCTGCAGGTGCTAGAGATTTTCCAAGTTTTCCACTCTCTTGCTTGGAATCCATAAAATACTTGATTATGACATGTGGTCGCAACACGGAGGTTAAAACAAACTGCATAAATAAATGAGCACCCTAAAGTGACACTAAACTCAGGAGTTAAACCTCAAAAATGTATTCAAGTACCTCAACAATTAACGAAAGTGTATCCTATTTGTGTATCACTCGGCTGTAGATCCTCAAATCATCTCTGAATTGGTGCTGACACTGTCCTTCCTTCTGGAGGGTGGCTATTTTTGTTCCTCAGGGTCCCTGTGTGTGTTGTAAAGAAATCGCTGCTCCAAGCTCCCTCATGTGATGGACTACAATCTCATGTTTAGTTTACTTATTTGTATTGAAGTTATAGTGCATCACAGGTGCGATTCTGGAGTGGTGGCTACTTTACATTACACACAGGGACCAGGGGGGACAAAAATAGCCACCCTCCAGAAGCAAGGACAGTGTCAGCACAGATTCAGAGATGATTTCAGGATCTACAGCTGAATGATGCGCAAATAGGATTTAAATCCTAAAAATGCATTCAAGTACCTGAACTATTAACAAAAATGTATCCTGAGTTTAGCATCACTTTAATAAAAAGAGATGCAGAAGGTTTTATGTAAAAAAAAAAAAAAACATCTTTAACAATGCCATAGGTTTCTTAGGGAAGACAAAATGTATACTGTGACTAGAGACAAGTTCTCTTTACATGACGACATTAAAAGCACTTTCTGCCTATTGATCCATTCCTGGCTGCTGGCAGTTCCTGAGGTCTCAGGAAAGGACTAGTCTACTTTAATAAATTACATGACTCCTAAAACATCATAAAGTGAAGCATGCTGGATTATATTTTGGAGCAGCTGAAGAGAAAGGAGCAGCGTTATCAATGAACATGTTTATAAAATGGACTGCACCGCCGTGTATTACTTTCCACTATAGTCACTTAGTGCAGCATTGTGTCAACAGCTACACTGCAGGAGCTTCATAAATACTTCATTTTTCAGCAGTTCTCTGACGAGAGTAACAAATCTTCACTGTAACAATGCAAAGCTAATACAGGGGGATTGAACAAAACAATAATAATTAATTGATAGCAGTAAACAGAGGAAATGGAGGTAATTCATCGTACAGCTTTTGGCATCCTTTCTGCTGTTATAGATGACACAGACATCATCTACAAAATTGAAGCAGCCCAATCACTGTAATATGCCTGTATAATGTAAGTCAGTTTTTTAACCAATTGTTCATTCCTTTGAATGTTAGAAGGAACATTTTAAGGCACCCTTCAGATCTTTGCGGTCTGTTGTGGTGCACACCACATAAACATAAACATTTACCACTGACCACAGTTCACTTTGTGAGAAATAGCGGACCAGAAACGGGACCTGCACCCTTTTTTTTTTTTTTTTTTTAATAAATCTTTTTATTCATTTCTGCACACTTTTTTTACACAGCACATCACAACACATTGCATGCATGTTGTGCACTGCAGCAAGAGTCCATTGGCACCTACTGTGGTCATGCATTTGGGTGCCAATCAAAATGAATGTTATGTTGAGCACATGACACTTCCACTGTACTTATTTACGGCTCATTGGTAAAACGAATATATGTGAAAAGAAATGTTATACAAGGGTAGGCAAACTTCACTAGTCTGCCATTGTCAGTTACCCCTGGTCCCACCTCCTACAATTAGCGACTATTCTTCTTGCAGCTCACAAATTATAGGCAGTAATGTGTGATAGGAGCTTTTTAAAAAAAATCTATGATCCACTATGTAACTGAGCAGAAATGTCAAGTATAGGATAATTCTGCAGCCAGCTTTTATACAACCAGGCAATAGCTGTACGCACAGTATGACTCACTTTCCACTGGCTGGCGTGGCAGAGGACGCAGGCTGCCCTGTATCCTTCCAAAAGCTTCTAATTACAAAATTAATTTGTACTATGCTTGTTTTGCAATTTCATCCATTCAGCTGTTTACCTAAAGATACCTTGACTACCAGCTCATCAGACAAGGCGTTTCCACAATGACTTTCTCATTATGGCAATTTGATTTCCTTTGACTCTCTGCTTCTGTTTTACAGGGTAACACTTGAACTCACACATTTTAATCTCTGCATTGTTCAGAGATGCAGCCGTGGCTTTATGCGCAGAGCCGAGGATAGATGTAGAATTGTATGGGTCACTGCATCAACATTCTCTGAATCTCGGCTGTTTGTACAGAAGAAGCTGAATAATCATTGCTTTCTGCATACGCAGCCCAGCGGGTTTCCACAGGCAATGAAATCCTTGAGCCTGATCATTATGAGCTGTTTAACGTATTTAGGCAGTGCAAAGAGCTGTGAAGAACAATTGTATCTTCAAGTTCATTTTAATTGGGCCCAATCAAACACTTCCATGTTAATACAATATGGTGAGAAGTAGGGGGTGATAAACTGGTTCAACCATTCATAACAGAGTGAAAAGTTAAAGGTTACAGCACTATCAGCCTGGAAGATACACTGGCTACACATATAAAATGTTTTTCTACAACAAGGACCCAAATGATTTTCATTGGAAATCTCCACTGAAAGAAATATGGAGGCTGCGATGGCTGGACTCTTCTGAAAAAAGCTTGTCATCTGGTGGTCTATACTGATCCTTTTGCTTAAATACATTTTTGAGCCACTGAACAGTTGTGCAGTTCTGATTTCTCTCTAACCTAACCTGCATACTGCTTAGTTCCAGGCCAGTGATTCAGAGACAGTCAGGCAACTGGCATCTTCAGAAGGCGGTCGGCAATGAAAACCTTCAAAGGTTTCCTTTAACAAATGGAATACATCAATTATTTCACACTTAAATTGGTCTAAAAGGTACCCAGAATGCTTATCATTGTGTTACTCACCAAACAGGTGAGCAAGCATCTGACTGTCTAAGAAACCGCGGGCCAGATTATTGTTTGAGTTTGAGTCTGCAGAAAATTGCAACAATCTCTGTGACCATGTAAAAAATGTACAAACGGGTATTAGCATATTAGGAAAAAATGAACTTGGTCATCTAGCATACAGGAATAATTGGACAAGTGAATGACAATGGGTGGGGCTTTTGTGCCAGAGGAGGCAGGCTTAATCTTACAGATTAATTTACTGTTACTACTTGATATATTAATAAGTGAAATTTAGATATTTCAACAATCTGCATCAAAATTGAATGTATTATAAAGAGCATTACAGCGCTGAGGTCCCATGTAACCAAATATTATAGAAATATACTGTATAACCTGGACCAGCTTGTTTCATTAAGG